GCCAGTCCCCCCCCTCTTTTTTTTTTTTTTTTTTTTTAAGACCTGTCTGGTTTCAAACTCACTGTGTATCTGAGAATGACCTTGAAGGTCTTTGGTCTCCGCCTCCCAAACGCCAGGATTATAGGCCTGTACCATCGCACGCAGTTTATATGGTTTGGGGAATTGAACCCAGGGCTTCCAGCATGCTAGTTAAGTAATCCACCAATGGAACTACATCCCCAGGCCTGTTGTATGAGTTTATGAGGGATAGATTCCCAACAGTGGCATCAATAGGTGGGTGAATTAATAGCATTTAATTAATTCATTTATTTGGTGCAGGGGATTGAACTCAGGTCCTTAGCACATGCTAAGTATATGCTTTACCACTGAGGTACACCCTCAAGCCCATGTGTTTGACAGTCTAGTAAGAGAGAAAATAGTTTTTCATATACACATAAGCACCCTTTTTTGGACTGGAGAGCTGGCTCAGTGATTAAGAGCACTTGCTATTCTTACAGAACACTTGGGTTCAGTTCCCAGCACCCACATCAAGTGGCTCACAGCTGCCTGGAACTCCAGTTCCAAGGGATCTAACACCCTGTTCTGGACTCTTTGGGCACCTGCACTCACATGTGCACATACCCACACAGACACACACAGATACACATAATTTAAAAATAAATCTTGCCAGGCATGGTGGCACATGCCTTTAATCCCAGCATTTGGGAGGTAGAGGCAGGCGAATCTAGGTGAATCTCTGTGAGTTCAAGGCCAGCCTGGAACTACAGGGAGACCCTGTCTCAAAAGGACAATTAAATAATAATAAATCTTGCCATGTATACACCATAGTGGTACATACTTTTAATCCCAGCACTTGGGAGCCAGAGGCAGGCAGATCTCCATGAAATTGAGGCCAGCCTGGTCTACTAGTGAGTTCCAGACCAGCTGGGGCTACATGAAAACCCTGTCTGAAAAAAAACAAAGATTAATTAATTAATTTAAAAAATTTTAAATTAAATCTTGTGGCTGAAGAGATGACGCAGCAGTTAAGAGCACTGACTGCTCTTGAAGAGGACCTAGGTTTGCTTCCCAGCACCCACATACATGGCAGCTCACAACCATCCATTTCCAGGAGCTCTGATGCCCTCTTCTGGCCTCACTAGGCATTGCACAACACAGGTGCACTTATACACATGCAGGCAAAATACTCAATACACATTAAAACAACAACAAAGAATGCCAGGGGGTGATGGCACACACCTTTAATTCCAGCACTTGGGAGGCAGAAGCAGGTGGATCTCTGTGACTTCGAGACCAGCCTGGTCTACATAGTAAGTTCCAGGCTAACTGGGGCTATAGAGAGAACTTGCCTCAAAAAGACCAACAAAACAAAACAACACAACAAAAACCCAATCGGGGCTGGAGAGATGGCTCAGCAGTTAAGAACACTGGCTGTGCCGGGCATGGTGGCAGATGCCTTTAATCCCAGCACTCAGGAGGCAGAGGCAATTGGATCTCTGTAAGCTCAAGGCTAGCTTAGCCTATATAGTGAGTTCCAGGCCAGCTGGGGATATAGGGAGACCCTGTTTCAAAAAAAAAAAAAAAAAGTCTGCTCTTCCAGAGGACCCAGGTTCAATTCCTAGCACTTACATTGCTGCTAGCAACCATCTGTAACTCCAGTTCCAGGAGATCCAATGCCCTCTTCTGACCTCCAGGGGCATTGCCCAATACAGGTGCACTTACATTCATGCAGGCAATACACTCATACACATAAAATAAAAATAATAAATAAAATATTTTTTTAAAAAAAAGACATCCTTTCAGGCTGAGCATGGTAGTGCATGCCTTTAGTCCCAGCACTTGGGAAGCAGAGGCAGGCGGATCTCTGTGAGTTCGAGGCCAGCCTGGTTTACATAGTGAGTTCCAGGTCAGCTGGGGCTACAGGGAGACCCTGTCTCAAAAAGACCCCCCCCCCAAAAAAAAGACATCCTTTTAAGGGTTTGGCAAGAATGGCATTAGCTCAGACCAGGGGAGGTTATTATGGATCTTTCTTTCTAAAAATGAATTATTTTTTTATTTAATATCACACCAGGCTTAAATTTTATGTGTGTGAATGTAGTGCCTGCATGTATGTAAGATCACCCATATGTGCAAACCCTACAGAGGTAAGAAGAGGGTGTCCGATTCCCTGGAACTGGAGTTACAGACAGTGTTGTTAGCTGCCATGTGGGTGCTGGGAATCAAACCTGGGTCTTCTGCAAGAACAGCCAGTGCTCTTAACTAGTAAGCCGTCTCTCCAGCCCCTGTTAACGGATTTCTTAGTGAGGCCACTAAGTAGTAACCCCTCTGTTCTCCTGTCCTTCCTCCCACAGTTCCTGCTCATTTTTCACAAGGCTGCTGCTGGAGAGCTGCAGGAGGATAGTGGGCTGATGGCACTGGCCAAGCTCTCTGAGATTGATGTTGCCCTGGAGGGTGTCAAAGGTGCTAAGAACTTCTTTGAAGCCAAGGTAAATGCTGTTCCTCTTCTGCAAGGCTACTTCTTCACCCTACCCATGTGCCACACACTCCTTGTACAGTGACTGTCACATTAATTTACTCAGGACAAAGCTGTATAATCATACAATTACTGGAAAATGGAAGTGTGTCTCCATTCATCTGAAAAACATACATGGCGTGGAAAACATCTGTTCTTAGGTTCCAATGGATTTGTTGACTTTGCTAAAGAATTCCTTTTTACCCCCATCCCCAGTTAAGTTGCTTCAGCAGCTTCCCAATCTTAACATCTGGGTTGGGGGCCTGGAGAGATGGCTTAACCGTTAAGAGCACTTGCTATTCTTGCAGAGAGCTAGAAATTGGTCTCCAATACCCATGTTGAACTCAAGACAGCTTGAGTCCAGCTCCAGGGGATCTGATGCCCCCTTTTGGCACCTGCACATACATACATACATACGTACATACATACATACATATATACATACATACATACATATATACATACATAGAGGGGGGGGAGGGAGAGAGAGAGACATACACATAAAGATCAATTTAAAACACACACACATACACATCTGGGTTGGGAGCAGGTAGGAAAGGGGCCAGGGGAGGGTGCCAGTACAGCTTTCTCAAATGGATGTTTGCATCATTGAAAGTAGTCAGGAGTTGGGATGACCCCACACCCCTACAAGTTCACAGTCATTGGACATCAAGACGCCTCCCTGTAGCTAGGTGCTGTCATCCTAATCTCTGCAGGACACATCTACAGACAACGTGGACTAGAGCCTTCCACACCTGCTACAGAGCAGGTGCTGTGGAAAGGGCACATGCTCCCCAGCCAGCAGCCTAAGCACAGATCCTGCCTCCTACACCCACCTACGTTGCTACCTTGGCCCTCTCTCTCCATCTATACTGTTGGGGTGACAACAGGATTAAACAAGTTCATATGAGTGTTGAGCTAGTTCCTGGGTTGTGGGGAGCCCTCAGTGTGGAGTCTGAGCTGTCAGGACTGCCTGCTTCTCCAGGCAGTTGCCAGCCTCTGGGAGAGTTTGTGTGTCTTCTGTGAGCTTGCCCAAGGATAAAGAAACCAAGGTGACAGTCTGGCCTGCTCAGGTCTCTAGCCAGAACTCCATTCTCCGTTGTCTGTGATGCTGATTGGAGACATGCACTTACGTTTTTCTGCTGCTCTGTCAGCCTGAATTCCTGCTAACAGTGTCAGGGACAGATTGGCCACTCAGTGCCCCTGAACACCAGTGGTACATGGTATGCGTCTAATCCTGAAAGTGGTTTTATCCTTTGTTCTGGCCTTCATATTGGTTCATTGACTCATCACAGCAACACCATCGGTACGTTGAACTATAAGGCCCAGGGAGAAGGGGACAGCATTTGGCCTCCTCAGGGATGCACAGTATGGTGAGAAAAGCCAGTTCTCATCTTGACAGAAGGGGAATAGAGGTGAGAACAGGGTGTGTGTGCTGCTGGGATGGAGCCTGTCTGTCCATTGGTGGAATCACATTTGCAATCTCTTGTGACTCTTTGGGAATGGCCCCACAGTCAAGGCTGGAGAGGAGCAGGGCTGTAGGTAAAGTGCACATGAGTCCCTGTGACTGCATCGCCTAGGCATGCAATACCTCTTTCAAATGCTGCTGGGCATTTTCACAACTGGTCTCAGAATCTGTGGCTCCTTCTGCCTGGAGCTCCACCCCAAGGCCTCTACTTGGGAAACTATGTTCCTCTAATACCTGCCTTCTGGGATAGCCCACTCCAGACCATCCAGGCCTGGAAAGGCCCCTGTCCTGAGTGCCTCTATTCTGAGTGCAATGGGGCTGTTCCATATCTGTTCAAGGTACTCTTAGAGGCTTGGGGGAGAATATAAATTGGCCTGACTGTAGAGCAGTTAACAGTCTGCTTCTAGGGTTTTTTCCTTTGAAGGCACTTACGTACTTGGCAAATGAATGTGGCTATGTGGACACGGATTTGTCCTGCATCCCTGCTGGATGGAGGAAAATTGGACATAACCTAAACCTCCAATGGCAGGGATGAGTCCATTGTGGTACGACCATCTACTGGCTCACTCTGCAATCACCAAAGATTGAGACAAGGATGAGGCCGTGTGTGTGTAGACGGGTGTCCAGATTTGTTTGAGATAATTCACTCTGTCATCCAAGCTGACCTTGAACTCTTTGTGATCCTCCTGCCTCACGTTCTGAAGTGTTGGGATTAGAGGTGTGAGCTATCTCACCCATACTTATTTCAGTTCTTTTTAAATAAAGATTTATTTATTTTTATGTGTATGAGTGTTTTGCCTATGTACATGTACCATGTGTGTGCCTCGTGCCATCAGAGGCCAGAAGAGGGCATCAGATCCCCTAGAACTGGTGTTACAGACAGCTGTGAGCTGCCATGTGAGTGCTGGGAGCTGAATCTGGGTCCTCTGCAACAACAGAAGGTGCTCTTAACCACTGAGCCATCTCTCCAGGCCCAGGTGTCCAGATTTAATTAAGCAACATAGTTTGTATGACACCCCATTTTTGTTAGACATTATATACAACCTGGATAATTACACATGAAAGTATTAGTAATAGTTACGTCAGAGGGACTTGTGTATTTCTGTAGTATTTTAGAAAGAGCGTGCATTATTTTAATAAGCAGGAGAGAAGATGAAACCAAAATAATAAATTTTTTTCCCACTTGCCGCGTTTATACGTCTGCCGCCTCAACCAGACTCAAAGGCAGAGTAGGCGTGTTATCTGTGTAATTACAGTGCCTGGTGTGTAATGGACCTCAATAAATGTTTCTCTGAATGATGAATGTAGGGACTCACAGCACTAGGATTTGGGAGCGGCCATAAAGCAGCTGACACTGGTGACAGATGCTCCAAGATGAATGGGAATTCACCTTATAATCAAGGAAGAGAGATGTTCGTGGGAACACAAGCAAGGGCTCCAAGGCACGGAGGGCTGGGAGTGCTGGAGGCTGGGGAGGTTGTCCAGGTGTATAAGGAGCAGGGCTGGTGAGTTCAGATGGCCCCTGGTAACTCCCAGGCTGAGAGACACCTGCAGACCAGCCTCCCTTCCCTGACCCAGCTTTCTTTGAGACTTCCTAGGGCAAGGCCCAGGAAATGTGTGGTTGATCCTGCTGTGCAGGTAGCAGGATATGCCATCAGGTTAGCAGCAGAGCTACAGGAGCTTGGGAGCCCTCCCAGTGTTTGAGCAGGTGCAGCACTAGGAGGCCGGATGCCTGGGGAGAGGTTGCCTCAGTTGCTTGGGGAAGAGTAGCAGTTCATCATCAGGCTGGATGACTGTGGGACCAGGGACAAAGTAAAGACAATTCTAAAACTTCAGTGACTACCTGATTGGGAGGGGCAGGAAGTGCACCATTTATGGAGTCCCAGATTTTTAAAGCCCCCCCCCCCCCCCCCCCCCCCACGCATCTCCCCCCCCCCGCCACCAAATGGGAGTGGTTTGGGAGGAAAAGTGATGATCTTGATTTGGTGTGAAGTCTGAAGTAGGCTTGTAAATACCTGCATTTGACAGGTTGCAAACAGTTCTTGACCTGGCCACATGGAGGCTACAAACAAAAATGTCTTTCTTAGAGACCTTGTGTCTTGCTGTAATTTTGCTCTTGTGAAGGATGGGATACTGGGCATTGAGGGTTGTGGGCTAGTTCTTCCACTTCCTGTACCCAGTGGTGCCAGTCTCCACATGCCAGGAGAGGTCCCATAGGAAGGAAGAAGGGAGGAAACACACTTTATGGGTACCCAGAAACAGCAGGAGGCATTTTCACAGGTACAGGTTGAAATAGGTGATTGGTCAACAGTGGATCTTAGGGTGACTGGACTGTGAGGAAACTTGCATTTATGTCTTCAGGGAAATTCTGGAGGAAAATGTTATTTTCCCCAATAGTTTTTTTTTTTTTAATTTTTATTTTATGGTGCTGGAGAGATGGCTCAGCAGTTAAGAGCACTGGCTGCTCTTGCGAAGGATCTGGGTTTGGTTCCCAGCACTCACAGGGCAGCTAACAACCAAATGACTTGAGTTCCAGGGGATCTGATACCTTCTTCTGACCTCCGAGCAGGCACTGCATGACATGGGATGACATGGGTGCATTTATATACATGCAGACAATATATATGTACAAATAAATACACATAAATAAGTACACATAAACAGTAAATAAAATTTTTATTTTATGTGTATGAGTGTTTTGCCTGCTTATATGTAAATGCACCACATACATGCAGGCCCTGTGGAGGCAAGAGGGCATTGGATTGCCTGGAACTGGAGTTACAGGTGGTTATAAGCTAGCTTCTGCAGGCATTGCATGACACAGGTGCACTTACATGCATGCAGGCATAACACTCATACACATAAATTTTTTTTTTAAGATTTTCTTTTCTTTTTTTTCTTTTTATTTTATATGTATGAGTGTTATGCCTGCATGTAGGTAAGTGCACCCATGTCGTGCACAATGCCCTTGGAGGACAGAAGAGGCCGTCGAATCCCCTGGAACCAGAGTTACGGACAATTGTTAGCTGCCATGTGGGTACTGGGATTCAAACCCGTGTCTTCTGCAAGAATAAACAGTGTTCTTAGCTGCTGAGCCATCTCTCCAACTACTATATATAAAATTTTTTAAAAATTTAATTAAGCCAGGTGTGGTGGTGCACACCTTTAATCCCAGCACTTAGGAGGCAGAGGCAGGCAGATCTCTGTGAATTTGAGGCCAGCCTGATCTACATAGCGACTTCAGGTCAGCTGCGGCTACAGGGAGACCCTGTCTCAAAAAGACCAAAAAAAAAAAAATTTAATTAAAAAATATTCCCTGTGTGTGTGTGTGTGATCCCACTACACAAGAGGTTAAAAAGCAGGAGGATTTTGAGTTCAAGGCCATCCTGGAATTCAAAACAAAATAAAACAGAGGACAGAACAGAGGTTTTGGGCCCAGGAAATGAATCAGTAGAGTTTGTTTTTTTAAACATGTATTTTATTTATTTTGTATTTGGGAGGCATGTGCTACCGTGTAAGGATGGAGTGGGGGTCAGAGAGGTACTTTTCTTCTTTTACCATGTGATGTGAGTTTTGAGGCTCCACCTCAGGTCATCAGGTTTGGCAGCAAGTACATTTACCCAATGAGCTTGGCCCTCAGTAGAGTTTTGTTGTTGTTGTTGTTTTTCTCGTATTAGCCTTTGTATGTTTTTAATAACGATTCTCCAAACACCAAAAATTGTTGTTGTTTTGAAAAGGTCTCCTTGTAGCCCAACTGGCCTGGAACTTGCTATAGGCCAAGGCTGGTCTCAAAGTCACAGAGATCCACCTGCCCCTGACTTCTGAGTACTGGGATTAAAGGTGTTCCCCACCATCCCAGGCATCAGTTTTTTTTTTGTTTTTTTTTTTTTGTAAAATTTTATTTTTATTTAATGTGTATGGTTGCAGGTAGGTGCACCCGTGCCATGCAGTGCCCTTGGAGGTCAGAAGAGGGTGTCAGATCCCTTGGAACTAGAGTTACAGATGGTTGTTAGCCACCATGTGGGTGCTGGGAATCAAACCTGGGTCCTCTGCAAAAGCAGTCAGTGCTCTTAACTGCTGAGCCCCATCAGTAGAGACTTTCTTTTTTTTTTTTTTTTTTTTTTTCCGTCTTTTTGAACCAGGGTCTCCCTGGAGCCCCAGCTGTCCTGGAGCTCACTATGTAGACCAGGCTGGCCTCAAACTCACAGAGCTCCTCCTGCCTCTGCCTCCCAAGTGCTGGGATTAAAGGCATGCGCCACCACACCTGGCCTCAGTAGAGATTGTTAAGGGACCAGATTCACCATGCTGGGCTGATTGCATTGGCACAATGAGTGAGTAGACCTAGGAGGAGGAGCCTAAGGGCTAAGTCTCCATCTTGGGTGGCCTGGGCTCAGAGCACTGTTGTTCTGTTTACTTTGTAGCCTTTGAGAGACACCAGTATATTTTCATGTCATGGAGAAATTTTCTAGGAAACAGGAAGATAAAAAGTGAGATGACTGAGTTGAGGGGTTGTAGGATTTAGAGGTGAGATAGGCAGTCACAGTGGAGAAGATGAAAGATTCCCAGGTAAAGAGATGGCACACTTCTTTCCCCTGTCCTGGGAGGTGGGGGTAGGTGGGTGGGGATAATTAAACATGTAAGTATTGATGCTAGGTTAGACCCTTTCCAAATGCTTCAGGTTCCTTGTATTTTATCTTATGTCTGTACCCTGGACTGAGGTGTTCTTATTTTGTGTTTGGAGACAGGCTTTTTGTCTTTTTTTGAGACAGGGTCTCCCTGTAGCTCCAGCTGGCCTGGAACTTACTATGTAGACAAGGCTGGCCTTGAAATTACAGCAGAGATCTGCTTGCCTCTGCCTCCTGAGTGCTGGTATTAAAGGAGTGTGCACAGCACCCAGCACTGGAGACAGGCTGACAGTTTTGATAGTGCAGGCTGACCTTGAGCTTCAGATCTTCCCAAGCTTTGCCATTATAACCTTGGCCTCCAGGCCCAGCTATTGTTTCATTTGGAAGATAAGGAAGTTGAAGCTTAGTGGCTTGTTGATGAACATTTAGCAACAAACTATCCATATCTTGTAATCCAGCACTCTGGGGTAGTGTAGGTAGAAAGATTAGGAGTTCAAAGCTGCTACTATGGAGTTCTAGGTTTATCTGGGCTACATGTGACCCTTGTCTTAAAAACAACAGAGTAGGGGGCTGGAGCGATGGCTCAGTGGTTAAGAACACTGACTGTTCTTGCAGAAGACCCAGTTTGAATCCCAGCACCCACACGGCAGCTAACAACTGTCCGTAACTCCAGTTCCAGGGGATCTGACAGCCTTTTCTGTCCTCTGCAGGCATTGCATGACACAGGTGCACTTACCTACATGCAGGCATAACATTAATACATATAAAAATAATAAATAAAATATTTTTTTAAAAAATCATAGTCCAAGACAAGATTTTATATCAAGAATTGTAGTATGGTGGCACACCCCTTTAATCCCAGCAGAGGCAGGTCAATCTCTGGGAGATCAAGTCCAGCCTGGTCTACAGGGAGTTCCCCTGTCTCAAAAAGACCAAAAAAAAACCCCAAAAAACCACCTGATAGATTAGATTATATTAAAATTTAAAGTATTTGGGAGACCTATGATACCTTGAAGTTAAAGACTAGCCAGAAGAGGTGAGGAAGTAACTGAAAGATGCTAGCAAGGGATTGGCACTAACTTACCTAGAGAGCTACAAATTGGAAAAGATAACCAGGTGACCATAAAAATGGGTAAAGAGCCGGGTGTGGTGGCGCATGCCTTTAATCCCAGCACTCGGGAGGCAGAGGCAGGTGGATCTCTGTGAGTTCGATGCCAGCCTCATCTACATAGTGAGTTCCAGACCAGCTGGGGCTACAGAGAGACTCTGTCTCAGAAACACCAAAAAAAATAAATAAATAAATAAAAATGGGTAAAGAATCCAAGTGGGCAATTCATCAAGGAGGAAATAAAAGAAGGTGTTGGGGCTGGAGAGGTGGCTCAGTGGTTAAGAGCACTGACTGCTCTTGCAGAGGACCTGGGTTCGATTCCCAGCACACGCATGGAGGCTACAAACCATCCTTAACTCCAGTTCCAGGGGAATCCGAATCTCTCTTCTGACCTCCGCGGCATTGCATGATATGGGTGCACTCACGTACATGCAGGCAATACACTCATACACAAAATAAAAAAAGTAAAATAAAATGTTTTTTAAAAAAAGGTGCCAATTTTTTTGTCTATCAGATTGGCAAGAAAGTAAGGATGTTAATGATAAGCTTTGGCAAAGTGGTGAGAAACTTCCAATCCATGATCGTGGGGGTGGAACCTGGAGCAGCTACTTTCAAAGACAGTTTAGTAGCATTTATTAAAGCCATACACTCAGTGTACTGTTCAGAATCTTTACCAAATGCATGAGACGTGGGGAAAAAAATCAGTTCTAGAAGAGAGGATTTTAAAATGAATTTGGTATTCTTATGGTATTCTTACTGTTACTGTTGAGACAGGTCTCAAGTATCCCAGACTGACTTCAATGTGTAGCAAAGGATGACCATGAACTTCTCATCCTCCTGTCTTCTATCTTCTGAACTATGGAATTACAGGCTTTGCTACCAGTTTTATGCAGTACTGTTTGTGCATGTTAGGCAATCACTGTACCAATTAGCTATATTCCCAGCCCCTCATATGGTACTAGTGACAAGAAACTGTTAAGGATTTTGTTGTTGTTTATTTTAATTTATATATTTATTTTTGGTCTTTTTGAGACAGAGTCACCCTGTAGCCCCAGTTGTCCTGAAACTCACTATGTAGACCAGGCTGGCCTTGAACTCACAGAGCTCCACCTGCCTCTGCCTCCCAAGTGCTGGGATTAAAGGCCTGTGCCACCACGCCCAGCATAAAATATTTTTTTTTTGAAAAATCAAAAAACAAACCGCAGGCAGATCTCTGATCTGCATAGTGAGTTTTACTTCCAGGCAAGTTGGGGCTACAGAGAGACCTTGTCTCAAAAAGACAAAAAAAAAAAAAAAAAAACCCTAGCTGGTACCAAATCCCAATGGCAATACCACCAAAAACTTGTAATATTTGTTTGTATTTAATTTTGAGGCTTTAACTTTGGCTGGCCTAGAACTCTATACAGCTCAGGCTGGCCTAGAACTTAGCACTTAGCCTCCTGAGTACTAGAATTACAATCCTGACTCAGCTAAAAAGACAGGTACTATCTTAGTAAATGTGAGCCAAAATGCATAGTATTTAGTAAATTTGGAATGACTTAGAAGCAAAAGAAAAATTATTTCATTTTTGCAGTACTGGGGATTGAACCCAGGGTCACCAGCATCCCAGGCAAGCACTGGACCACTGAGCTACATCCCAGCCCAGAACTAAATGTTGATGACAACAGCAACATTGAATAAAAACTAGTACATTGAGGCTAGAGAGATGGTTCAGTGGTGAAGAGTGCTTGCTGCTCTTCTAGAGGACCTCAGTTTAGTTCCCAGAAACCACATGGGAGGGGGCTCATAACCACCTGTAATTCCAGCTCCAGGGAAATCTGATGGCCTCTGGTGTCCACAGGCTACACTCACATGCATGCATGCATGCGCGTGTGTGCGCGCACGTGCACACACACACACACATTCAGAAAGAACTATATTGTAAAGGTGTCTCTTTGCATTCCCATTGACGTTTAACAACCAAAGTACCCCCAACCCCTAAGGCATTAATTTATTTGGATCTGTTCACCTACAATGTAGCAATATTATTGTGAAACTAATGGAATGTTAGATAGGGAGGTGGCTTAATAGTAGTCCCTGTGTCCAATCCCCAGTGGCCCTCACAAAAATAGTTAATAACTTTTTGGTTGTTAACCTTAGCCTTTAACAGCTGGGCTATCCCTCCTGCAGGGCGTGGTGGTGCACACCTTTAATCCCAGCACTCGGGAGGCAGAGGCAGGCGGATCTCTGTGAGTTCAAGGCCAGCCTGGTCTACATAGTGAGTTCCAGGACAGCTGGGGCTCCAGGGAGACCCTGTCTCAAAAGGACCAAAAAAAAAAAAGTTAATAAATCAGGATGCTCAGTGGTCTCCTGAAAAAGAAGAAAGCAAGCCCAGCTGACAGACACAGAAGTCAGCACAGATAGTGATGGCGTCTACACCAAGGAGAATCGGGGACCAAAGCAAGGAGTGTCACTGGGGCTTCTGCCCACAGAGGCCCTGCCTTCTTTGTCCAAGGTTTGCAGGGCCACCACAGGCCTGGCTGTTGGCATCTCCATGTCCTTCCCTGCCCTTACTGTGTCGTCTGTGTTTGCCATTTCTCTGCAGGCCCAGGCCTTGTTATGCTCCAGTAAGTTCGAAGCTGAATTAAAAGCTGAGCAAGATGAGCAGAAGCGGGAGGAGGAGGCCAGGAGGCTCCGCCAAGCGGCCTTCCGGGAGCTCAAGGCAGCTTTCAGTGCATAGTCCTGTTGACCTGACCCCTGACCACAGCTGTGCCTCACAGATGCCCCAGAGATGACCGGAATTTCTACATTTTCACCCCCGCTGCCCCCTCCCTGAGCCACCACTCCCTCAGAGCCTTGCTGGCTGGCCTTTACTCCTCTGTCCTTATCTGTAGCCAAGACTTGCCTCTTCTTGGCAACTGTCACTTTCCTTGCCTGTGTATGGCTGTGTGTCAAGTCCTGTTCCACTGTGGTCCTCAGGACACGTTGTGCATCTTCTCAGGCAGTTCTTCCCTGTGGCCTGTGGTTCCCCATCCATTTCTGGCCAGCTTCCTGTTCTTGTTCTTTAATTCCACTGATTGCTTTTTCTCTGTCCTGTGTGATGGTGGGATCCAAGGGAAGACCTGTGGACCATTACCCATCCCCTCTCCCAACCAGGGGAGTAGCTCACTGTCCACTGCCTATCCCCTGGCCCTCAGCAGTGCCTACCTTCTTATCCCCCTCATCCACGCCTTCTCTTTCAACACCTAAACCCTTTACAACTTAACTGTAAGAATGAAAGAGTGGAGCCCGGTGTGGTGGCGCACGCCTTTAATCCCAGCACTCGGGAGGCAGGGGGATCTCTGCAGTGATTTCAAGGCCAGCCTGGTCTACATAGTAAGTTCCAGGCCAGCTTGGGCTACAGGGAGACAATCTAAAAAAAAAAAAAAAAAAGAAAAAAAAAGACCAAAAATGAAAGAGTTGTTAGAAGTAATGTTAATGAGCAGAGGGTTGCTGTCAGCTGGCTCCAAAGAAATCAGAGTAGACCCCTGACATCCAGTCTTGAAACCCCAGAAGTCATGACTATCCTCATCAGACCAATTTCCAACACTGGCCCCAATGGGTTGAGGTGAAGGTCAGATTTTTGTGTCTTTTAAGTTCTTGGGATTTCTCACAAATACCAGGGGGTTGTATTTTTTACAAAAATAGTTCCTTATGTCATATTTATTCTCCTTTGTAACTGCTGTCTTTAAAAAAAAATCTGCCTTTCTATCTTACAGCTGTTTGCTTTTAAATAAAGTGTGCAAACAATCTTTGCCTTCACATCAATGTGTCTTTGGTCTTTGAATCAGAGGATGGAAGAACATGTTTTCTCTCAGCCTTGGGCTTCTGTGACTCTGAGTTGCTAAAGCATGAGCAGAAATAGGAATGGGGGTAGGTGGGGCTGGGGATGTGACTCAGTTGGTTGAGTATTTACCTAGGATGCATGAAACCCTGGGTTCAATCCCAGCACTGCATAAAGCCAGGCATGGCAGTGCATGCTTAGAATCCCAGCACTCTGGAGATGGACGTATGAGGACAAGGAGTTCAAGGTCATCCTTGGCTAGGCAGGGGATACATGAAACCTTGTTTCAAGAAACCAAAACGGAGCTGGAGAGATGGCTCAGTGGTTAAGAGTGCTTGCTGTTCTTGCAGAGGACTGGGTTCCATTCCCAGGACCCACATAGTGGCTAATAGCCATCCAAGGGATCCAACACCCTCTTCTGGGGCACTGCACACACATGGTACACTTACATCCAAGCAGGCAGAACACATGCAAAAAAAAAAAAAAACCAGCACACAGTTTACACAGTGTTGAGGTTGAACCCAGGGCTTCATACAGGCTAGGCAAGCATTCCATCAACTGAGCTACATCCCCAGCTCCTATAATGAGAATCTTAGCATACAATCCAGCAATCACGCTCCTTCAAATTTACCTAAATGAGAACTCAATGCCCACATGCTGTGGGTATTTGTCAAAGCTTTACTTATAACTGAAAAACTTTGAATGCTCAAGGTGCTCTTCATAGATGAGCAAATGAACAAGCCGTGGTGGAGCCACACAGTGGACTACCCAATCACAGAGAGGAGGCGTGAAAAGACCTGGTGGAGACTGACATGCCTATCGCTAAATGAAAGACGCCAGTCCAGAAAGGCTCCATACTATTTGATCCCCACGCTGACATCCTTGGAAAAATAAAACAAGCCAGTAAAAATATCTGTGGTTGGGCTAGGAAGGTAGCTCATTCCTAGAGTTGTTTGGTAGAGTTGTTTGCCTAGCATGCACGAGGCCCTAAATTCGATCCCCAGCACAGCATAAACCAGGCATGTCAGTATATGCCTGTAATCTTAGCACTCGGGAGGCAGAGACAAGAAAATCAGAACTTCGGGCCTGGAGAGATGGCTCAGCAGTTAAGAGCACTGGCTGCTCTACCAGAGAACCTGGGTTCAATTCCCAGCACCCACATGGTGGCTAACAACCGTCTGTAACTCCAGTTCCAGGGAACAAATGCCCTCCTCTGACTTCCATGGGCATTGCACTACATGTGTACACTTACATATATGCAGGCAAGACACTCATACACATAAAAAAATAAGATCAGAACTTCAAGGCTATAGTTGCTTACATAGTGAGTTGCAGGCCAACCTGGGCTGTGTGAGGCTCTGTCTCAAAAAAAAAATTTCTGTAATTTTCGGGAGTTAAGGCAAGGGAGGTTGATGGGGTGAGGTGCATAGATAGAGCATGGGGGATTTTTTTTTTTTCTGAAGCAAAATTGGAATTTAAGGTAGTTAACATGGATTTAGTCAGAGTTAGTGGAAAAAACGGTACATAGGGAGAGTGTACACTACACCTAGGTGTGTGACTGTGGGCTTCTTGAATCACTAGCATGGAACAGTAAAACTCATGATACTTAGTAAACACCCAAACCTATAGAATGCACAACAAAAACCATACACCCTAATGTAAAGCACGGCTTTAGTTAATAAAGTATTGATGTTGGCACATAAATTCAACAAATCTTCCATAGTAATGAAAGATAATAATGGGGAGTCTGGAACAGAGAGCCTGTAACTTTTGCTCAGTTTTTCTGTAAACCTAAGGGACTGGAGAGATGGCTCAGTGATTAAGAGCACTGTCTGCTCTTGTAGAGGACCTGTTTTTGGTTCCCAGTACCCACATGTTGGCTAACAACCATACAGCTAGCTCCAGTTCCAGGGGATCAGATGCCCTCTTTTGGCTTCCATAGGCACTGTATGATATACAAACAAAACACTCATATACATAAAAATAAATATCAAATTTAAAAATGAATAGTCTATTAAAAGCCAGGCATTGGGGTGCATGCCTTTGACCTCAGCACTTGGGAGGTGATTTTGAGATCATCCTGGTCTACATAGTGAGTTCCAGGCCAGCTGGGGCTACAGGGATACAGAGTAAGACCTTGTCTTAATTAATTAACCAACAAGATGGTTCATCAGGTAAAGGTGCCACCTGAGTTCAACCCCTAGGACCTACATGGCAAGAACCAGCTCCCAGGGGTTGTCCTCTAAACTCCACATACATAGCCTGGCAAACAAGTGCCCCCCCATATAAATGAATACAAATATAATTTTAAAATGTTTAGGGTCCAAGAGATGACTTAGTTGGTAAAGGCAGTTGCCACCATGCCTGAAAACCTCAGTATGATGCTGGGTCCCAGTTGGTAGAAGAAGAAAACCAACTCCTGCAAGTTGCATGTACATGGGTATACACACACACACACACACACACACACACACACACACACACTCAATCAATCAATCAATCAATCAATCAATAGATGTAATAAGAAACAAAAGCAAAAGTCTATTAAATCAGGCATGGTAGTTCATACTTGCAATCCCAACACTTGGAAGGCAGAGGCAGAAGAATATATTGCCATGAGTTTGAGGTCCTAAGCTACATAGTGAGTTCTTGGCTAGTTTGGGTTACAACAAACAAACAAGCTGGGTGCGGAGCACATGCCTTTGATCCCAGCAGGCTTCTGGAGTGAACATTGCACTGGTGCAGGCAAAACACTCATAACCCTTTAAATCACAGCAGAGGCGGGTAGATCTCTGTGAGTTTGAGGGCAGCCTAGTCTATATAGTAAGTTCCAGACCAACTGGGGCTACAGGGAAAACTAACCAACCAACCAAAAGAAAAAACCCAAACCAAAAATAGCCTATTAAGTTAAACAGAAGAAAGGAAGCTTTAAAAGGGGGGGGGGGGGGGGGGGAAGGAAAATGGATAGAAACTGCAGTTTAGTTAGTTAAAATGTCTTTCTGGACCCGGATGTGTTGACAGGGGCCTATAATCCCAGTACCTGGGAGGTAGAGGCAAAAAGGATCCAGAGTTTAAGGTGAGCCTTGGCTTCATATCTAGTTTGAGGCAGCCTGGGCTACATACATGAGACCTTATCTCAAAAAAACAAAAGACAAAACCGAAACAACAGAAAAAAAACAAACCAAATCATGACTTTCTCGACAAACAGGTCAATGTAAGAGCTAAAACTCAAGCTTTCTAAGGACAAGAAATGACATGCACTGGACCAGGTGGCCTCAAAGAGCAGAGGTCAGATGTCTTCGCCCCACCATTGGTCCCTGCCCCATGTAGAAGTTGCTTCCCCAGTATCTCCTGCCCTGAGTTTCAGCCTCCATCCCCAGGGCCAAGGCCACAGCACAGCCAGTCCTTTGGGGCTCTGCAGTGACCCGACTGGTTTTTCTGCTCTCCTTCCGGCTGGTTGTCCATCCTGCAGATGGAAAACCCTATTAAAGTGCAAATCTGTTCCTAACATGTCCTCTTCCATTTTTCATTCTCCCTTTCAGAATCTGACCCCTGCTCACTGGGCCCACCTCTTACCCCTCCTTCACTTCCCTACATTCTTGGGAACTGTGAGGCCCAGGTCCATGAAAGGGTTCCTGGAAAGTGCCACACCTCTGATCTTTCACAGGCTGCTTCCTTAGTGAACTTCTCAAACTGTCTTTAGGAAGTTCTCCTGGTACCCCTGGGCTGGTAAGGAGCACCCTTTCACCTTAAGGCTTTTCTCTGTCCTAATCCTATTGCATTCCAGAGAATCCCTCTCTCTATTTCTCTGCCTTCCTGTTAGGACTATGAACTTTTTTTAACCTTTATTTAGTGTGTGTGTGTGTGTGTGTGTGTGTGTGTGTGTGTGTGTGTGTGTGTATGTATCAGAGGACAACTTGCAGGAGTCATTTCTCTCTACCATATGGATCCCCGGAATCCAACTCAGGTTGTTGGGCTTGCCTGCAAGGGCCACTTACCCACTGAGCCACTGCACCAGCCTAGAATGATTAACCTTTGTAAGGGCAGGAAGTCTGCCTTGTCTGCTGCTACAGGCCTATAACCAGCAGCCTTAGGGATGGATTTCACAAGGATATGTCAGGTTTGATGAATTAATGGAGATGGGCAAGGTAGGATCCCCATTACTGATGTCAGAGACCTTCCAAAGGCTGTGTTATCATGATGAAATGCCTAAAGCCAAATAACTTTATAAAGAAAAGAGAGTTATAAGATCATAGTGCTGGCATCAGTTCACTCTGTTCAGGGGCCTCATAGCAAATGACATCACCATAGCAGAATGGAGGGTGGGAAGGAGGATTCATGGGACCAGACAGGACTCCCACAGTGAAGGGAAGGCTATACTTAATGTCTTTACAACAGTTTTCTCAGGAGCTCCTCATGGGTCCCTAGGGGAAAATGTGAATCTCTTCAGAAGGCTGGGTTCTCAGTGACCTAAGGGACTTCCACTAGGCTTTGCTTTCCTTTTTAGAAAGGGTCTCATGTAGCCCAGGCTAGTCTCAAACTTTTAAGTAGCCACTGCTACCTCTAGGATTTCAGGAATGCACCACCACATCCAGTTATACAGTGCTGGGGATCAAACCCAAGGCTTTTGTGCACATTAAACACTCTTCCAACTGAGCCATATCCTCAGCCTTAGCCCCTACCTTTTTTTTTTTTTTTTTTTTTTTTTTTAAAGGAGGGGGGAACCTGAAGTTCACTGTTTGGGCTAGGCTGACTGTACAGCAAGCTCCTGGGGTCCACTTGTCTCCATCCAAAACTGGGGTTATAGGCCTGTGCAGGCCATGCCCAGGTTTTACATGAGTACTGGGGATTTGAACTCAGGTCCTTTTGCCTTCACAACAAGTCCCTTTACCCACTGAGCCATCTCCCCAACCCCAAAAAATAACCGGTTAGTTTAGTAATCTGCCCAGCAAAATTCTTATTGAAATTCAAGATACAA